TTGGCAACGTTGAACCTGTAAGCTGATGAACTGTTTTTTTGCAAATCTAAAATCAACAAATCGTTTTTCTAGATACCTACCGAAAAGCTATATCAACAAGATACAGATAAGATTCTCCTGCCAAGAGGCGAAGAAGTCTTTATCCAGAAAAGTGAGGTTACAGTTTCGCATTGATAAGGTCTGCTTCGGACACAACTGCCGGTGGGCGTCGGAGGGTTTCTGCCTTGATATTCCTAGTGAGACTTGTTTTGTCACCCCCACAACATGGCTGCCAAATGTTGGCCAGCTACTACTGCGTTTCACCTCTGCTCCATTCCGCCTATTAAGTCCTTGGGTTCGACAACAGCTCTCCGAACACCTTATTAGTTAATAAATTTTTATTTCGACTGCAAGTGTCTCCATACAGTAGCGCAATCTTCAGCTTGGTGAGGCTATATCCATGCCCCAATCTTTTCTTTTTACTGTTTTGGTTTCTGGTGTGTTTGACGAGAATATCTTGAGTTTTCTGACGTTTCTTTTTCAATAATCTCAAATCTTCTTCTTCCTCCGATAAAAAAGCAGCTGATAAACGTTTATTCTTCTCGTTACAGGTCGATATACAGCAATGCGAAACTGAAATTCCGACACGTTGAATGAAAACACTCAACCGTACTGCCAGTCGATTGCGTCCAGACGCAGCCGCCAAACGCGCAAACGAATACTACCTTTAACTGGTTAGAAACCCAACGCTGTCATCTTATTATCGCCGAAACTCATTTTGAAGGCTTAGATTCAGTAATTCCGATTTTCTAGTACCTTCAACAATTATGGTGCTTATTTTTGAACTTACCGCAAACGAAGCAACACTGAAGACTGACGGCAGCCTCTGATCCGTGTAAAATTCAATATACCTAGATGCAGTCACTTTTACTGTTTACAGTGGTGGTCATAAATAAAAAATGTTTATAATACATGAGTTTTAAAATCTGGCTGATGGCGATTTCCATTTGTCAATCAGTGCGCACTGAGTGTATTCGCATCTTTTTCCAAAAGCATGTAACATGTAAGGATAAGGATTTATTTTTTTTGCACTGGTTCGACAAATAAAATTTTAAATGAGGATATTGGACCTATCGATCCCCAATATAGGGATTCAAAATTCTAATCAGTTTCTGTATTTCCAATTAAATTCACAACTTTAATTATCCAAAGTAACTGTTCCCAGAAACAGTGATTCCTTGAGTGGGTTTTGTTAATTAACGAGGCGTTAGAATTGGATCCGTCATTCATGAAAAATTTGATTTGTATATTGCCACCGAAAGCACGGATTCTCAGAAATAGTCAACCTTTTAACCTCAGTAATTTCAGGCACATAAAAACCTTGTCGTCAGTTGAATTTTTGTATACACATTTGTTGTGGTGTCAAATCTCCCCATCGCTATCGTGCCGGCTTTTCAATATATATTCGATTTGAAAGGCAACAAAAAACTTTTTGCCACGATAATCTCGCTTGAAGGTCGATAAATTTTGTAAAAACTTGGAGATTTGAATATTTCTTACGAAAAAAGTTATTTCGAGGAACCAGCAGTTTTCGTTGTGGAGTACAGATAAAGTAAGCAGTGAATAACTTTACATTTATGAGGCGGGTTTTCTACCTGGGTTTTCCGGTTGGTCTAATCCATGTTTCCGGAATATTGAATTATATTATTGCAAATAAAATCCCAACTCACATTTCACATCGACGAAAGCGCATATATAGTCATAGTCATGAATTAAAAACTAATATCAAACGAGCTTGCGGAAAACTCTTTTCCTCAATCACAAACGAAATACACTTTTTCGCTTCCGAAATAGAGCGCGCAAGAATCCATTTCCGTTGAATTTTGTTTTGCACAGGGGGTTAGTTTCTTGAACTTGTGACTGGTTTTGTCACGAGCACAGTGTTTTATTCAACCATAAAGTGCCTTTGTTGCTATTTTTATCATTTTGTAACATGATATAATGATTCGCAATGGTCTTGGATATTTTGGCATCACAGCTGCTTTGGAGTGCTATAACTGCTTCGGCATTAAGGTCAAGGGGCCTATCTGAGGGTACGGAGATTTATGAAAAGGGAATTTACTTTATATCTAATCGTTGAAATTTCCGTGATTAAGTCCGATTAGTGGGAATATTATAGTTTCTCTGGAAAAAACTTTAAAAAAAATGGTTATTCATTGGTGAACAAGACATCGCTAAATTGACATATTTAAGGTGTAGGCTGGAAAAACTGCCAATTGAGAATTATAGGCCAGTATTATATTATGATCATTTGATTCTAATTATATCTATTTAACAACTGACGGAAAATCAGCGGGCTGTTGATGAATTTCCCAAACCTCTTTATTTTGACATGTTCGTGGTGTAGGCCTCGCCAAACGGACCATTATATTTGTGGCCAAGTTTTATTTCAATTTCTATGTTAAATTATCTTTCGATTTAGGTGGAGAGCAAAGGATTGCTCATACCTTTTCAATAACTCACTAAATTGACATATTCACCTCTTTCCAGAATGCAAACGGCCCATTTCCCTAAGTTTTAGTAGATAAAAAATTGTATGTTACGTTAAAATAAAACCACTGACGAAGTTTCAGATGAGTGTTAATCGTTAAAAAAAAAGTGCGATGAACTGTGGAATATGGGTGCCTGTATTTGTAGAGGATTATACATACGTACCTTTTTGCTAGTTTTTAATCATTATCATTATCGATATTATGGTTTTTTTTTAATTTCAATAATTTAATATGTTTGTCATTTTTAGTTTATTTTATCGAGAAGATTTTAGTGGGAAATAAGGACAATAGTAAGTGTTTTCGTATATACATTTTTAATTCATTCCTAACGTCTCCACGACAGTTGTTCGTCTAAAATCAGGTTTTTACGGAAGCGTAGAGCTGCCGTGCTAATATTGAAAAATATTTTTATGAAAATTTATACTTTTTCTGTAAATTTAGTTGATAGTTAGGGTCGGCTTGCAATTTTAATCAGACATTTCCAAACCTACCAATAATAACTCAGTTAGTTTGGATTACTTCGCAATTTTAATCAGACATCATCAAAATTGCCGATAATAACCCGGTGAGTTTGCAGCTTCAAGAAGACATTGATAAACTTTTAACGATAATAACCCGGTTAGTTTGGGTTAGTTTGCGATTTTAATCAAACATCACCATTATGTTTACCAAATATTAATTTTCGAAATACGCGTTTTCAAAAAATATATTTTCAAAATTATTATTGAATTTTGATAGAAAAGTTATTCGAAATAAGCGTTTTCGAGAAGGTTTATTTTCGAAATAACAGCATTCGGGAAAAAATCGAAATTTGTATTTTCGAAAATTGAACATACATAGAGGACTGATAAAAATTGAAAACTTATCCCCAAACTAACCAGGTTATTGTTATTGTTGTTGGTAATGTCAGAGTAAAGTTGCGAAATAACCGAAACTAACCGGGTTATCATCGGTAAGTTTGGGAATGTTCAATGAAAATTGAAAAGTAACCCAAACTTACCGACAGGGTTATTGTCGGTAAGTTTGGTAATGTCTTCTTAAAACTGCCAACAAAACCAGGTTATTATCGGTAAGTTTGATAATGTCTCTTTAAAACTGCAAGCTAACTGGGTTATTATCCGTGAGTTTGGTGATGTCTGATTGAAATTGCAAGTAACCCAAAAAAACCGGGTTATCATGGGTAAATTTCGAAATGCCTGATAAAAAATAAAAACTAAGCGGGTTATTATCGGTAAGTTTGTAAATGTCTGATTGAAATTTCAAACTAACTGGATTATTGGTGAGTTTGTAAATGGCTGAAGTATATTACATACTAACCCAAACTATTCGGGTTATTATCGGTGTTTGAATAAAATTGCGAACTTTCCGCCGGGTTATTATCGGTAAGTTTGGGTTATTATTGTTAGTAATGTCAGAGTAAATGTTGGATAAACTGATATTCATATCAGTGAATCAAAAATTAATAAAATAAACTTATAAAACAGCGGTGGGCTATTTTATATAAATAGGTTTACATGGGTCATTCGTTAGACGTAAATCAGAAAAGGAAGTTTTCTTCGGGCTTATTGGCTGCCGTAAGTCGGAATTCTATCCTGACGTCTCGCTCGCACGACGGACTGTTTCCATTTCCGACTCTGTCTTTTCAAATTAGAGTTATATCACTGTTGATGATAAACTGAGTAGTTCTCCAATTATTAGATTATTTTTTCGAGGTTTTTCCGATGCTGTCCGTCACCCGAGTGATAAATCGCAGATATGCGCTGCCAATGACTGGTTTCCTATCTGAATCTTTGACGTGAACAAGATGTAGGTCTTATAGCTTTATAAATCCCAGCTGCACTATTATATCCGTTAGATTGAAAGGCCACTGTCTGCGGGAATTATAATCATTTTCCATCAAGTTGCGGCGCACGGAGGTTGTCAAATTAAAAAATAAAATAAAAATTAATGAGGTGACTCATTATGTTGGACCTAATTAGCCAATGAATAAAAAGTAACTTTTCTTCTAACTAGAATTGATTATGTTTGACCCGTTTCGGGAGTGTTCAATATACTCCCTTCATCAAAACCCTTTACACCAAACTCACTCTAAACCGTCAAACATAATAAGTTATTTTGAGAAAAGGGTGATACTTATTCTTTCTATTTATTTGACGCGTAAAAAAAAATCTATTCTTTTAGAAGTTCAATATCTACATATTCTCCACTCTTTGAGTATCAACGCAAAGGGTCATAAATCGATTTATATCTTTTACATAAACTTTTAAACAAAAAAGACATACATAAAAATTTGTCGGCTTCTGATCCTCCGGATCGTTTTACCCATTTGAAAAAAAAAGGCCGTCGGTATCGATATCCTTTCATTTAGTTTTATTTTGTCTGATAAAATAGAAAACTCGTACAAATTTTATTGTCCCGAAGATAAAACCCACACATATACATTTTGGTAAATTCTCTTTTTTGTTTCAGGTGATATTATGGACATATTGGCTCTAACCAACTCAGGGATCAACTTCATTTTGTACTGCACCATGTCCAGGCAATTTAGAATCACTTTCAAGGAGATATTTTTGATACCTATAATAAACCAGTTCGCTCCTGATTCTCATTATTGTACCATTGATAAAAGCGGAGAGAAGACTCAGATATCAGCAGTGTAGATAAAAGAGATTAAATTATAAGCATAACGGTTGTGATTTAGGATACGAATTTTTTAAAGGTAAGAAAACTCACTGCAACTTTTTAGAAGGTACCTACCTATAATAAATTTCTAATTCGTACTTAAACATTTTCAATTAGGTTTTAGTATGTCATATAGTAACAAGGCAATTTCAAGAAACTTTAAGGATGCACTCACAACCGAAACAACCCTAAAATCCGTAATACCTCATTTTTACTCGGGAATATAATTGAATTAAATGCCGATAAAATGGCCGGCTTATGACGGGTTCTGGTGGATGGTTGTGTGATGATGAAATTTTTCACTCTTTTTGATTGGTTGGCTTATGCTTGAGTAGTTAAAATGAAGTTTTTAGAAAAATAGGAGGAACGCAATTTAGTTAAAAAAAGCAGAAAATGTTTTTGATATTCCAAATTTATGCCCCAGATTACTTCAAATCAAAAAGTACTTTAGTGTCCAGGAAAAACTTTTCATTGACAAAGCATATCAACTTAAATAATAAAACTTTATGTCTATAAGACCAATTTAAAATTTTACCAGCGTTAAAAATATGTTCACAGGATGTCTTCAAAGAAATTCTCAACTTTATAGTAGGCTTTAGTCAAGAGTAACTCCCTTACCCCCTTTCTAAACCTCCCGTATGAACGTGATGACCTAACGCTAGATGGTAGAAAATTGACTTTACCAAGGTGCTTCTAAGTCAAAATTCTATCAGAAATGAAGCTAGACTTGCAAAATTGTCAGAAGGGAACTCAAGAGCGTATGCTCTCGAGTTCCCAAAGGGCCCTTTTTTGTCAAATAAATATGGAGTCGAAATGGAGTACTGCAACAGCCCCAAAATGCAATTCCATAAGTAATGTGCGACTCCACCCGAGAAAAATACGCGGTCCTGAGAACTCGCAGCTCTAACTGCTCTGAGAGTACTCTCAAAGCATAACAGCTAGATGATAACCTACTAGAAAGTGCCACAATATGCTGCTCAAACTTAAGACTTTCGTCTACTGTAACTCCAAGAAACTAAGAACAGGTTGTGGGATGGATAAAATCAACACACAAGGAAATATTGGATAATGAGCCCTTAAAGTTTGACATAGGTATTAGTCTTACATATGTTGAAGGAAAGATTGTTGCTGTCGCACCAGGTTTTTAATAAATCTAAATCGACATTAATCATGCGTTCCAAAAATTCTCCACTTTTCCCATGCCAGACAATGAACGTGTCGTCAGCGAAAAGTCTAATACTTCCCCCGACCCTAAGAGAGGCTAGATCATCAATATAAATCAAGAAGAAAAGGGGGCCAATTATAGAGCTCTGAGGCACACCGCAGGTGTTGCTCATTTTCATCCGAAACTCCGCCCCTATATGAAACTACCTGTTGACGATCACTGACGTACGACTGAAACCAATTTAGAGTCACACAGTCACACCCCACCCCAAAAACCATACACTTCAAGCTAACGGAGCAACACAAAATTATCGACACAGTCGAAAGCCTTCGACGTCACAAAACACTCTCCTGAAAGGTGATCCTCATTTCTACTCAAATTGATATCTTCCAGAAAGGAAAATATCCTATCAGATGTTCCTTTGCCACACTGGCAGCCAAATTGATTGTCGGAGTGGGACCTGTTTAGATAGAAGAATGAAAGAAATCTTATTTTGACCAGTTTTTCAATCAACTTACCAAGTGAAAGAAGAAGAGAAATAGGACGGAAATTTGCTGGGGAGTCTGAGTCTCCCCCTTTCTGAAGAGGTACAACCGCTGCATGCTTAAGGATATTAGAAAATATACCCTTTTCAAAGGAATTATTTATTGCATCTCCAAGCGCACCAACACTCCTATCGTTGGGATGGAGAAGGTTTAATGGATATGATATCATAGTCCGTGGAATTTCTTTCCATAACTTTCCAGCCTTTATCTTGGTCTTCCAGAATCCTGCTAACCAATGGCAAATATTTTAGACCTACCTAATAATAATATTTGAAAAAAAAATCTTTGGAAAAAAAAAAAGTAATAAAGGGGTTGCTCGAAGGAAATCAAAGCCAAATAAAATTGGAAAGAAAAATAATTCTCACTCGAACACTAGTAGTTATATTCGGATAAGTACTCTGGACCAAAGCTAGATACAAATAAAAGAAAATTGACAAATATAGCTATGAACAAGGTTCATTGAAACCTAGGAAGCAGAATTTCTCGTCAGGAATCAATTCGAGTTCTTGATTTTCTTCTTATAGTTTGCACTTCATAGGCATCTCCGGATCCTTACTCAGAAGAGTCAAGGAACTGATAGGATAGTAGTACTCTTTTTCTTTTTTGCTTTCATAAGCACGCGAATGTCCACGTGCTTCTAGCAATAAGATAAGTAATCCAGTCCCAAAATGGATTTGATGATGTTGGTAAAGGCCATAACAGTATTTCTAGACATCTGCCTTATTGGGAATTGTATCGCCACCTGCTGCCTTCCTGACTTTAAGAGACTGACGTGATTCCTAGTGTGCTTTGGCGTTTCCAATTGAATTATTGTTCTGTCGACTAAACAATCTCGACCCCGTGAATTTTATCTTTATCTGGGTGATCATTTAGATGGAATTCCAGCTCTTAGGTATCAGCTGTACCTATTGGTTATTGGTTTAGTGGTACCTTATCCTTTTTGTTCCTTCGGGCTCCGTATTCTCTTCTAAGTCTTTTGCTTTCGATAATACATGACTCTAACTTCTCTGTTAGAGCTACTTGCTATTGGCCTGGGTACTGTTCATTTCTTCTCTCTGCTAAGAATGTAACCTATCTTGTCCTGCAAGCTCGGCGTATAAGCTGATCATCCTCTGGACGAAGCCTTGCTCGGATTATCAATTATTGTACCGGGTTGTGATCGTACGACCTACTTGATTCTATACTGTTTATTTGAAAGTATTGTGCGACATATTCCAAAATTGCCATGTCAACAAATATGTATGCCAGTGCAATATTGTAGCATCTGCGCCAAGTACTCTATTATTTAGGTTAGATGGTAAATTTCGAGCGGTCGTATTTGATGGTAATTATTTCCTTGGGCAGCTACTGAAGAATAAAATTGTGGGGGCGGGTCTATTTGTAATTGAAAGAAACAACTGATTAATCAGAAAAAAAAAAGATTTTCATTTTCAATTACAATGGTACACATTTTCTAAACCCTAATCCTTTCCTCCTTTCTAAACAAAAATACACAATTCTAAATTGATGCAATCGTATAGTTACCTCTACACTGTCTCTGAGCTTGTAAATTGAATGATGCAATCAAAAAGCCTTGTACTTTAATAACACTTTCATATAGCCCTACTACGTCAGGTACCTACAATATTTTCCCCAAATCCTAAACACCTTTTACACCTCAAAACCATAATTCATAATTTAGTTTAATTATTATACCTTCCTGTTATATAAGCGTATAATATCCCTGAACTCGCTTACTGCCAAATTTTGTACAATACTTATAATCAAAAATCGTCTACTTAGCCAGAGTTAACACTATCAAAACATTTTATCTAAATTCATTTAATTAGCAACCAAAATATCTAACTAATAATTTACTAAACGGAACAAAACAGTCAATTCGATTATCTAAACTTTTCAGTAAAATTAATTTCAATTACCAGTCATTTGAATTAAATTTCTCTATCTATACTAAGCACAAAAATATTCAAAGTTAATTCACTCAAGATAATAATATTTATGCAATAAAGTTTCAAGTCAATTCACTTACATAGTCATTGCAACATTGATAAAGTCAAAATAAAACTTGTCACTAGAGTACTTACATTTAAATTATCGTCACTTAATTATTCTAATTATTATTTACTTCAAAATAGCTAGAGCACGCACATAAAAACTGAAAGGTTTACTTCTTTCTTAATTCGAGTTATTTACTCTAATTTTTACTTTTTCCGAGGCCCGACTTTTTATACTCGAGATAATTCGCCACTTCTTAATACTACTAATTATTGAGTCTAATTCTCGATAATTGATTGATTAGAGCTCGCACATAATGTTGAACGAATTTAAATGTTCTTTCTTTCACAATTTTCCGTTACTTTTTCAAACATTCGATTCAACGCGTTTTCCCGAGGCAACAAAATAAAAAAACTCCTCGCGAATTTCATCCGCACTGACTCATTAGGTACTGTAGACTTAAACTCAAGACTGAACTGAAGACTCAACTGGACTTGAAGTGATTCCAAAATTCCGAAACCGTTGTTTTTATATTTTTCGATCCTTCCAAAATATTTCCGGGTCATGTCCAATCATTGACTTCTTTTCTAAGAAATAAAATGTATTTGTTCAAAACCGAATATGTCGCAATTTCCTGGATTATCGGGTTCAACAGATTTGTTGTAAGAAACTGAGAACGAATAACTCAAAGGATGCCGAAAACTCGTGTCGTCCGTAAATCACCAATTTAATTACTTTTACCTTGATTTTAATATTTTTATGGATTTGATTTATGTGATGACACACGCTTGGTGACTAACTTATGAAATTTGAACGTATTTTGAATATTCTAATTAATTTGGGTCAATGCTAATTTGTAAATTACGGGTCTATTTTTCTCGGGTCATTACAATATTAAGTGGTGCTAAGTAGAATAATCCGACCTCTAATTGTCCCAATCTCTAGAGAGACTGTCAGTATCACATCATTGCTGACTTTTATATGGGCGTTTTCTATGCCTGTTTTAGCAGCATTTGCCTCACTGATAGAATATCAAGCGATACTGCAAAGAGAGTTTGGCCCCGCTTCCAGGGTGTCTATTCTCGGAACTGGGGAACAGCATTCTCACGAGAACGATTGCTCTGTCTTTGTCAGTGTTATGGAAATATAAATATGGGCGTCTGAGAACCTTCGTGCTCATGAGAACGCTGCTCCTCTGTTTCAAAAATAAGGGCCCAAGGAAGGAAAACCCCGACCGAACCTAGAAATTGTTATTATTTGATAATCTATATACCTGCTTTCTCTACCAAAGTGTCGCTTATTGTTATCTGTCCATTTCCAAGGAAATAATTGATGCAGAATATTTGGCCAGGTAGAAAATTCCGATATACCGAAGCCAAAATCTAATTTATTAAGGATCCCTGAACTAATATGAGCAAAATTTAACTTACGGCTCCGTCTAACTTTGCTTTTTGGTTATCCTATCCATATTAATTATTCTGGATTCTTGTTAACTAAATAACAAATTTTAATTAATATTATTATGAAAAGCAAGATATCGAAATATT